CTCTTTGTTTCCAACCTTTGTATTTTAATCACCAGTAGTTATCAATACATCTTGATTGCATGTTCAATCAATTTAAGACGGAAGAAATTGGTAGAATTCTTCAATTTCATCATCACTTGCTTTAGTGGTGGCTGGGTAAATTTGAATAATAGTGGTATTAACTGGTCTTCCTTATAGGTATATGGATATTATCCTCTTATAGACAGCTTTATATTTCATGATAGATCTTGAAGTGTTCTTTTTGATGATGAATGCTATGCCATGCCTCTTTAATTTGTTGTTCCTGGTATAGTAAACCATACGATTGTCAGATTCAGAATAGCCAATACCAATCCATTTCAGCTCACTTAAACCTAGGATATTGATATTTTTGCATTCTATTTCATTTTTTGACAACTTCCAATTTTCCTCCATTTATCCTTCATATATTCCATATTTTGATTATTAATGTTTGCAGTTATTTCCCCTCATTTTGAGTTGTGCCCCATCAGAAAATATAGAGCCCCAAAGCATTTCTCCATTCATGTCATCAAGGTCAACTCTACTTTAAAGAGGCAGCTTTTCCCCAGTCATATTTTGAGTGCCTTAGGGGCTCATCTTCTGGCATACCTGAGGGGCTCATCTTCTGGCACTATATCTGACAGTATTCTGCAGCTATTCATAGGAGGAAAGTCTACTTGATTTCCTTGACATTTGGAAGTTCTGTATCTCTTTTGCTTTGTAGTTGGCTTCACTATAAACTGATATCTCTGGTTTCTCATTTTCAGTCTTATAGGTTTGTTTTACTTTAAATAATCCTATTTCTGGATTGAGTTCTGGGTAGTGTTGTCATGTATGCTAATCTCAGGTTGTTGCCTACTGTTAGTTCTCACTCCAGAGAACACTCTTTAGCATTTTTCTAAAGTTGGTCTGGTCAATCCAAATTCCTTTAATTTCTGTTTATTTGGAAACATCCTAATTCCACCATCATATTTGAAGGACAGCTTTGCTGGGCATGTGATTCTTGGATGGCAATTTTTTTCTTTCACAATTTTGTATATGTCATTCATTCCATTGTCTTCTTGTCTACATTTTTTTTCTGCTGAGAAATCAGAGCTTAGTCTTATTGGTTCTCCTTTGTAGGTAATGTTTCATTTTCCTGAGCTGCTTTCAGGATTCTTTCCTTGTCTTTGGTTTTGGAAAGTTTTATTTTGATATATTTTGGTGATTTTATTTCCTGGTGTGGTGCTGTGGGTTAAAGCACTGGATCTCAAGGTTGGTTTGAACCACAAGGTTGGTAGTTCAAACTCACCAACTGCTCCTTGGAAACCCTATACAGGGTCACTATGAGTTGGAACTGATCGATGGAAATTAACAACAACAACATTCTACTTGGGACTCATTAATCTTCTTGTATGCTTATCTTTGCATCTTTCATAATGTTAGGGAAGTTTTCTTGAAAAACTACTCAACAATTTTCTCTGTGCTTTTTATTGTCT